CAGAGGGACTTGGACTGGCTGGACTGAAGGGCTAAGGCCAATTCTCAACAAGACCAAGGAATTGTAGTGGTGGGGCCTCCCATCTGCAGGATGTGCTCTGAGGCCAAGAGGGCATATGTCAGCAGAGGTGCCAGAATGCAGGGCTGGATCAGCATTGGCTGTAGAGGAGCTGAGAATGTCTTCCTCAGCTCCAAGACACAGTTGCCAAAAGGGACTCATCACCCTGAGGAAAGGTCTGCTTGTGTCCCCACCTCACTCCCTGTCCTTATACCAAGTTAGACTCTGGTCATGTTTTCAGAGAGCCCCAGCTGCCCACCTATGGAAGGGCAGCACTGGATGCACAGACGCTCTGACAGCAATGCCCAGGAGCTCTGTCCTCAGTCCAACATCAGCCTTTGGGTTCCCAGGGATCCTCATCTGGGCTGTCACCAGTGGCTTTAGGAGGGGGGGCACCTTCTGCCACAGTAGCGGCTGGAAATGCCAGAGAGGTCACAGCACCCGGAGTTGATGGGCACTCCATCACAGCTGAGGATGCTGCCAACAGCAGCAGAGGTGGAGAAGCCCACCACGGTGTTCTGTGGGAAGGAGCTGAGGATGGGGCCGGGCAGGGTCACCACCACAGCAGGAGGCTCGATGGCGACAGTGGAGCTCTGGCACTGCCTGACACAGGGCTCGTTGCAGCTGTTGGCCAGCGGGGTGGGGCCGCAGGGCCGGCATGGCAGGCACTGGTTGTAGCAGGACATGCCTCTGGGATGGAGGTGCACCTGGGAGAGAGGGTCAGGAGGAATCAGAGCAGCCCACCACAAGTCTGTCACCCCGCCAAGAGGATTTCACAGGCACCTGCTGAGACAGGAGGTAGGAACTGGGCAGTGAGGCAAAAGGGTTTCCAGGCCTCATCCTCACACAGGACTGCAAAGTGTCACAATGATCAACTGAGGAGTTGGGCTGGCTTTCATGGTGGTCCTGACCTGGCTCAAGGCCCAGAGGTAGCTTCCACAGAAGTGGCAATTTCCTAAGCTGCTCACGAGGAATGGAAAATATCCCAGGTAATGACACAGGCTGGCGAGTGTTTTCCTGAAGCTGCCTGGGATGTTGCTGGCCTGGGGCTCACTGGTGGAGTTATGTGGGGCCACATTAACAGCAAGGGATCCTGCAATCCTTGGCTGGTCACCTAAGGGCTTCCTGGTGTGAGGACATGCCACATCTTTCTCTGCCTCCCAACATGGTCACTCCAACAATTAGTTGTTGGGTGCACGTGGCCTGCCCTGCTGCGTTTCAGAGACTCTTCATCTCTTACCCATGAAGCTAAGCAGCCTTCCCTAAGCTTTTGGTATTGAGGACTGAAAAGGTTATTCCCCCATTTTTAAACACTGCTCAAAGTTATGTGGGTCGTCTACCCACTGACATATTATGGGGTGGCCACCATGATGCTTGAAGAGAAAAAAATCATTTACTGGCACTGCAGAGAGAATCAGGGGGAGATTTTTGCCTTCCAAAAGCCCAGAGTTACCATTGCCTACAAGACGTAAAACATTTGAGAGAGGTCTCCAGTTTGCTCTAGTATTGCCTACCTGGTCCTCTCCCTGCCAGACTACATCTCTGCCTCCCCAGCTGGACCCCCACACCCTTGACTGCCTTCCCATATAGCTTTCTAATCACTTTGGATACTGTCACTCACCTTAAGGGTGCATGCTAATGGGTGAGGTGGACCAGAGCCTTTGCTTCCAGACACACGTGACACCTCCTCAGCTTTGAGGGCAGTGAACCTGTTTTCTAGTTTTAAGAACTTAGGCACGACAGAGGCCTTCTGCTTGGTGCCAGAAGTTACCAGCTTCCATCCTGAGCTTGTTCCTTGGAATCTGCTCCTAGGAGTCTACAAGTGGTGGTCGGTTTTCCACATTCATCTACTAAAAGCAGCAGAGCAGACAATTCCATGGTGTATTAAGATAAGCAAGAGGGGCAGAAGACCAGTTTGGCTGAACAGGCAACTCCTCATGGCAGTCCAGAGGAAAAAGAGCTTGTACCATCTCTGGAAGGAAGGCCAGGTTTTGCAGGAAGCTTACAGAGCTGTCATCTGTGTACGCAGGGAGAAGCCAGGAAAGGCCAAAGCTCAGTTATGGCTGAACCTGGCCAGTGTTGTTTTAGGCAACAGGTACAGCCCAGCCAGTGTCCCTCCTGTTCCCCACAGTGCCAGTCACCTCCTCAGAGAAAGCAATGAGAGAGAATTTTCCCCCAGTAAAGCCCTGTCAGCTGCTCCCAACCCCCTTCTGGCCCATCATGAGTTTAGAAAGGCTTCTGAGAGTATTTGCTCCACCTGCTTTCCAAGAAATGAGTAGACACTGTCCTGTCAACTCCTCCAACAGCCTTGGATGCATCTGGAGTGGTCCCATGAACTTGTGTAAGTCCAAATGAGAGCCAGAGTTCCTTAGTTGTTTCTTCTTGTACTCTGGGTGCTGTTTCATTCCCAGAGAGTCTGTGAGGAGGCTCAGGGATGTGGTAGGTCTGGGGACCTTCCTGAGTGGCTTTTACTGGACAGCATGTGAGACGAGTCCTGTGCCCGAGCTGACGTGTCTTCCAAGGGAAATGCATGGGCCTCTCATCCTGTCACGCAAAAGATGCCTTCACCGGGGAACGTGCCAAACATAAGGCAGGAAGTAAAGAGGCAGAAATTCAGGAAGCCAAAACAGCCAAAACAGCATTAGCTGCGGCGTTTTACATTCAAGAGGAGCTTGTCAGGAAATAGCAGCCTCTCCAAGGGATGCCTCTGGCACCTGGGGCAGTAAAGGTCCAGCCCAGCTCCTCGCCTTCATTGACTTCTCGCCTCCTTCTCTTTGGGAGTCAAGTGAGTCTGAAGCCCCTTCTCCTTCTCCACTTCTGTTAAAATGGGGTCTTAGCTCAAGGGAACTCTATGCTGATATCAGCTTTGTTCAACGCCCAATCTTGGGGATCCTTGTCAGAGACACAGGGAAAAGGAGAGGAGGTTAGATATGGAGGGAAGCTGGGAGGTACCCTGGGAGGACTGCAGACAGGTTGTCCAAGCAGCTAGGGATCAGGTAAGGAGGGCCAAATCCCAGACAGAATTAAGTCTCACCAAGGGTGTAAATACCAATAGGAAAAGCTACTATAGGTATGTTGGGGATATAAGGACAACCAAGGAAAATGTCGGCCCTCAGCTGAAGGAAACAGAAGACCTAGCTATGCAGGATATTGAGAAGGCTGAGGTTCTCAATGGTTTATTTGAATCAGACTTCTCTGGCAAGTGCTCCAGTCTCATCACAAAGGCCACAGTGGATGAAAGCAGAGACTGGGAGAAGAAAGCGCGCGCGCGCACACACACACACACACACACACACCAACTTTAGGAGAAGAGCAGATTTGGGACCACTTGAATAACCTGAAAGTGCACAAGTCTATGGGACATGATGGGATCCATCCACAGGTCCTGAGGGAGCTAGCAGACGCAGCTACTAAGCCTCTGTCCATCATATTTGTGAGGTCATGGTGGTCTGGTGAGGTTCCTGCCCATTGAAAAAAAGATAACATTGCCCCTATTTTTAAAAAGGGAAAAAAGTAAGCCTCGGGGAACTACAGACCGGTCAGTCTCAACTCTGTGCTGGGCAAGATCGCAGAACAGATCTTCCTGGAAAGTCTGAAAAGGGACACGGAAAATAAGGAAGCGATGGGAAACAGACAACATGGCTTCACTAAGGACAAGTCATGCCTGACCAATATGGTGGCTTTCTATGACAAGGCTACAGACTACAGACATGGTGGATAATGGCAGAGCAACTGATGGCATCTACCTGGATTTGTGCAAGGCATCTGACACTGTCCCACATGACATCCTGGTCTCCTAACAAGACATGGATTTGAGACATGGACCACCTGATGGATAAGTAATTGGCTGGATGGCTGCACCCAGAGAGTTGTGGCAAATGGTTCAGAGTCCCAGTGGAGGCAAGTGATGAGTGGTGTTCCTCAGGGGTCAGTACTGGGACCAGTGCTGTTTAACGTCTTGGTTGCAGACGTGAATTGAATGTATCCTCAGCAAGTGTGGTGATGATACAGGGTTGTGTGGAGTAGCTGACCCTCTAGAGGGAAGGGATGCCATCCAGAGGAACCTTGACAGGCTGGACAGGTGGGCCAGTGCCAATCTCATGAAGTTCAACAAGGCCAAGTGCAAGGTCCTGCACCTGGATTGGCACAACTCCAGGCAGAAATACAGGCATGGATAGACAACAGTCCTGAGGAAAAGGACCTGCGTGTGGTAGTAGATGAGAAGCTCACCATGAGCCACCAGTGTGCACTCGCAGCCCAGAAAGCCAACTGCATCCTGGGCTGCATCAAAAGAAGTGTGGCCAGTACGGTGATAGAGGGGATTCTCCCCCTCTAGTCTACTCTGGTGAGACTGCACCTGGAATACTGCATACAACTCTGGAGCCCTCATCACACGAAAGGCATGGAGCTATTGGAGAAGGTCCAGAGAAAGGCCATGAAGATGATACAAGGGCTGGAGCACCTCTGCTACAAAGACAAGCTGATAGAGTTTGAGCTATTCAGCCTGTCGAGGTCAAGGCTCCAGGGAGACCTGATAGTGGCCTTCCACTACCTGAAGGGGGCCTACAGGAAATCTGGGCAGGTGCTTTTCACCAGAGAGAGTAGAGGTATGACAAGGCGTGATGGTTTTAAACTGAAAGAGTAGACATTTAGGTTAGACATCAGGAAGAAATTCTTCACCATGAGGGTAGTAAGGCGCTGGAATATCTTCCCTAGGGAGGTTGTGGATGCCTCCTCCCTGGAGTGGTTTAAGGGCAGATTGGATGAGGTTTTGTTCAACCTGCTCTAGTGTGAGCTCATGGGAAGCACATTGGAACCTGATGATATTTAAGGTCTCTTCCTACCTTAACCATTCTCTGATTCTGTGATTCGGTGGTGACAGGCTCCTTCTCATGTATGCCCCCTCTGCCCCCTCTTCCAGGTGCACCTTGGGCATCCAAGACATGTCCTGCTACAACCAGTGCCAGCCCTGCTGCCAGCCTTGCGGCCCGACCCCACTGGCCAGCAGCTGCAATGAGCCCTGTGTCAGGCAGTGCCAGAGCTCCACCATTGTCATCGAGCCCTCCCCCGTGGTGGTGACCCTGCCCGGCCCCATCCTCAGCTCCTTCCCACAGAACACCGTGGTGGGCTCCTCCACCTCCGCTGCCGTTGGCAGCATCCTCAGCTGGAAATTAGGTGGAGGCATGGGGAAACATTTCACTGCTCTTTATTGGAAGGTAGGACTACTGCAGCGAGTCCTCTTTCAGGCACTGCCTCTGGAAGCTGAGGAAGACACTAATAGTTACTCCACAGTCAATGGCTATCAGTCCTTGCCTTGCTGCTGCTCTGCCGGGAAAGATCTTCTTGGCCCTGAAGCACACCATGTGAACTGGAATCCTGACCACTGCTGCCCTCAAGAGAGGAACCATGGGCATCTGGGAACCCCTGGGACATCATCAGTCTCACGATGTCTTGGGGGAAAGTGCTCCTCTTGCTGGTGGAGCTGTGCTGGGAAATGAGGCTCAGAAGAAGAGTTTGCCAAAGGATGGCAGGAATTTGGAGTGGGAAAATAGCCTTGGGGATGGCCCCCAGTCCTACTCACCCTGCCCCTCTCCTCCATTACCTGATCTAGGGGCGACGGCCAGCAAGACTGGCCATGGGCAGCAGAGACAGCTTCCACATGAGCCCTTCAGCACAGCATCTGGCCTGGGCCACCTGTTGCCTACATGTTGGCTGAGGTGTTCACAAGTTAGCACTGGCATCATCTACAGCAGCCCACACAATGGTGACCCCTGTCCTTGTGAACCCAACACCTCCTTGGGTGAAGGCAGCCCCAGTACAGTGACTGGTGTTCAGTGACACATGGTTGCATTTTGGTGCCTTGTCTTGTGCAAGCACAGAGCAGCTTCACAGAATCACAGAATCACAGACTTACTGAGGCTGGAAAGGACCTCTGAGATTACCAAGTCCAGCCTGTGACCTAAGGCTGCCACATCAGCTAGACCATGGCACCAAGTGGCACATCCAGTCTTTCCTTAAACGCCTCCAGGGATGGTGACTCCACCACTTCCCTGGGCAGTGCATTCCAATGTCTAATCACCCTTTCCATGAGGAAGTGCTGCCTCATATCCAGCCTAAACTTCCCCTGGTGCAGCTTCAGGTCAGGCCCTTTCATCCTGCCACTAATTTCCTGGGAGAAGAGCCTGCCCCCTACCTGATTACAAGTTCCCTTCGGGTAGTTGTAGAGAGTGATAAGGTCCCTCCTCAGTCTCCTCTTCTCCAGGCTAAACAACCCCAGCTCCCCTAGCCTCCCCTCATAAGACTCAATTACCAGCCTCATTCTCTCCTCTGGACCTACTCCAGCACCTCAATACCTTTCTCGGAGTGAGGGGCCCAGAACTACACACAGTACTCGATTGAGGCCTCCCCAGTGCTGAGTCCAGGGGGAGAATTACACCCCTGCTCCTGCTGGCCACACTTTTCCTGATATAAGCCAGGATGCCATTGGCCTTCCAGGCCACCTGAGGACACTGCTGGCTCATGTTCAACCGGTTCTCAACCAGTACTCCCAGGGCCCTCTCAGCTGGGCCATTCTCCAGCCATGCTTCCCTGAGTCTATAGAGCTGCCTGGGGTTATTGTGGCCAAAGTGTAAGACCTGGCACTTCGTCTTGTTGAACCTCATACCGTTGGCCTCGGCCCATCAGCCCAGCAGGTCGACACGCCCCTCAACTTGGTGTCCTCTGCGAATTTACTAAGGGTAGACTCAATCCCCTCATCCACGTTGTCAAGAAAGATGTTGAATAGCACTTGACCCCATACTGATCCCTGGGGGACACCGCTGGTCACCAGACACCAGCTGGATGCAGCACCATTCACCACCACTCTCTGGGCCTTGTCATTCAGGCAGTTTTTAACCAGCGAAGCGTGCACTTGTCCAAGCCACGGGCTGCCAGCTTTTCCAGGAGGGTGCTGTGGGAGACTGTGTCAAAGGCTTTGCTGAATTCTAGGTAGACCACACTCACAGCCTTCCCCTCCTCCATTATGTGGGCCACCCAGTCGTAGAAAGGGATCAGATTGGTTAGGCAGGACCTTCCTTTCCTAAACCCATGTTGGCTGGGCCTCATCCCCTGGTTGTCTTGTACATGCTGCTTGATGGCACTCAGGGCCCAGGAGCTCTACAGCCTCACAAGTGCCCTAACCCAGCTCTGGTCTTGCAAAGGTGGTGTGAGAGAGCAGATACCCCAGCTCTGTGTAAATGTGTGGGAGTTCAAGGTTTGAGTCACACCATTTGTAACATATGCTAGATGACTAAAGTCATGCCTTCATTTCTTTTGACCATCAGAGGTGTCCACGTTGCTCTGCAACTGCTGTCAGTTATCTTGTGATTAGATAAAGCCAACTCAACCAAATCTGAGAAACCGAAAATTAACATTGAGATAAAGGTCACTCATTCAAACATGAGATATTTTCTAATGGCACAGAGACCCTGGGCCAAGGGCCAGTCAGTGCTGGGACCCATGGCTGTATCTGGTCTGAGTGGGCTTGCTCCTGATGCTCAATGTTCCTGTGTTACCACCTAGCTCAGCAGTGCCTCCCACAGAACCTGGCCTGGGAGGGATGACCCATATCCTCACCCCATGCAGGAATGGCCCTGTCATAGGATGATGAAGATGGTTATCAGTAGCATGACTAGGGAAAAAGATTTCAGCCATGGAAAGGAAAGGCCTTTATAAATGTTTTAGCCTTCAGTCATTCTGAGATATGCTTCATCAACCATAAGTGTCTCTTAGTGGAGGACATTAGTGTGTGGATTCTGTTCTAACACTTGTACACTTTTTTCAAGACACTTGGTTTTTCATGCAGGAAACAGCCTATGAGACTGCAGATACTGCTACATGAGAGTGGCAAGAGTCTACCTTGACACTTTCAGCAGCATGGATGCTGTTTTCCTGGAACACCTGTCCATATGTTCTGGCCATAGCCCCGACAGTAGGTGGTGGAAGGAAGAGGGGAGTATCAGCGATGGGCCATCCCAGAGGCTGTTCCCTGCTGTACCGCTCCTGACACTCTGCAACACAAATCATCTCCTAGAGCCCCAGCCCCTGGCACCCCAGCACAGCTGGAACCAGGGCTCGTGGGGCTGCTGAGCTCAGGGCCTCCTGCCTTTCTAGACATTTGTGGGCAGAGACACATCACGGCAAGGCCTGATGCTCATGGGCAGCAGAGCGGCCAGCGATGACTTCTTCAGCTCCAAGGGGTGCTGCCCAAAGGAGGAGTCACTGCATGCACATGCTGTCCCAACTTCCTCTGCCAAAGGAGAGGTGTTTTCTGGTGCCCTCACCCCCTTCTGCCCCAGAGCAACACCCTTCTCCTTTGGCAGCTTGGAGCCTGTTCAAAGAGGGAAAGACCATATGGAGGCCAGGCTTGAAATGCAGCAGAGCTTTAATGAGACCAAAGAGGGAAACAAAGTCACTCCAAGTGAAGGTCACCAGTGTGGAGAGTCATGGTGGCAGCTGAGGGTCTGCATTCTTGGCCATCAAGGAGTTCTTCCACAAGATCTGTCTTCTGCCTGTCCGATAGAAAAGGAAAGGAGACACGTGGTCCCCACTAGGCTGGCCTTGGTGGGACTTTACTGCCAGCGGGAACCAAAGCAATCTGAGAGAAGGCAAACAAGGGCAGATGCGTTCAGCTGTACTGAAAGCAACATGGAAAAAATCTGAGTTCCCCCCAGGTCTCTCCAGGGGGTCAGAGAGACGGATGGTCCCCACCAGGGTGGCCTCAGTGGGACCTTGCTGCTAAGGGAAACCAAAGCAAGCAAAGAGAAGGCAGAGAAAGGAAAAGCCATTCAGCTATAGTGGGAACAATGCTGAAAAATCTTGATCCTCTTCCCAGCAGCTTGTTCTGTGTTCCTCGAGGTGTCTCCAAGGGGTTTCCCAGCATTTTCATCAGGAGAGGAACCTTCTGCCACAGTAGCGGCTGGAAATGCCAGAGAGGTCACAGCACCCGGAGTTGATGGGCACTCCGTCACAGCTGAGGATGCTGCCAACAGCAGCAGAGGTGGAGGAGCCCACCACGGTGTTCTGTGGGAAGGAGCTGAGGATGGGGCCGGGCAGGGTCACCACCACAGCAGGAGGCTCGATGGCGACAGTGGAGCTCTGGCACTGCCTGACACAGGGCTCGTTGCAGCTGTTGGCCAGCGGGGTGGGGCCGCAGGGCCGGCATGGCAGGCACTGGTTGTAGCAGGACATGCCTCTGGGCTGGAGGTGCACCTGGGAGAGAGAGCTGGGAGGAAGCAGAGCACAAGGAGGGGTGAGGAGCAGCCTGGTTACACGGAGGGAGCCAAGGCTCCCCAAGCCAAGTAATGAGCGGGTGGCTGGAGGCTCAACCAGGAGCCACATAGTCTTCATTGCCCAATAAAGAACATCCTAGATGAGGAAGGCTCTCTCCTAAGTCATAACCCAGCCCCCACCTTCAGCCACATCCCAGCTTCTCTCTGAGCAGACCTTCCTGCTGTGCCCTGCCATGAAAAGGAGATCCCAAATCTGTTACAGAACAGAGGCAGTATCAGATGAGAGTTCCACTGAGGAGAGATCTCCCTTTGGAAGAAGAGGAGAAGGAGCTTCACACTCACCTGGCTCCCAAGCAGAAGGAGGCAGGAGAAGGGGATGAGAGAGCAGGGGCTCGGTCTGCCTTTTATACCCGCCCTTCATTGCCGCAGGACCACAGGCACCCTTGGCTGAGGTAACAATTTCCTGACAAGCTCATCTTCGATGCAAAGCATCGCAGCTAATGATATGGGCTGTGCTTGGCTTTCCAACACTGCTGCCTTTTCATCTCCAGGCTTGTGCCATGCCAGTTCTCCTGTGAAGGCTTCTTCTGAGCGCTGGGATCAAAGGCCCCAGGATTTCCAGGGCAGGAATGACAC